AACATTCTTTTGAGCTGAAATTTTCAGGGCATTCTATTGGTACATAGACCTATCTTTGGACATAATCTCAGCTCGAAATATTGTCATTCGATTTTTTGGTATATACTGTGCCATAGGCTAAAAATCTAGTAAAATGCCTATAACTCTGGACGGAAGGCCTATGGGCACTTATCCTTTTGGGCCTTTTCATACCTCACTGGGGTCTATCTTTCAAACTGAGTTCGAACTCAAAAGCGATTGGACAGTTGAATAGGTTCCCTCGTAAGAAATACGAAAGTTGAACGGTGTCTTTTGATTTTAGTGGACGATTTTCGTGATACTGTAAATGAGTGAGTTGAGGAGTGAAGTGTGGTACGTCGAAGATACTGTTGCTGAACATGTCCTCCGGCTATAGTTGATCGAAGAAAGAAGTTGGAGTTCATGAGAAACGCCTTGACCATTATATGATTACTATTGATGTTTCGCGAAACCTTATCAATGGTAACAACTTTTTCATTGGCGAGCCAGCAGCAAAATATTTGGTGTGATAATAGCTGGGAAAAATCGTGTTAGGGATCAATTTTTGTCAAACTATCGTTCATTTTGAATATTTTTGCCATGGCAACTGCCACATCCTACCATGCTGGGGACCCGCCGATGGAGTCTGAATGGACCTTGTTCTTTCTGATTTTGAAACCAATAGGAAAGCATAATATTCAAAAAATAGAGTATGAATCAAATATGCTTGAAAACATAAGGCTTTACCTAATCTTTCTTTTCTTAATTAAAAACTATCTCACAGACGCTTTTAAATTCCATAAAAACCAAAAATGGACAAATAAATAATCAATATTCATATCAGCTCTAGAAAAAAATAGGTAAATCGACTGTATCTGAAGATGCTTCTATGGAAGAGCAAAAGTCACTTCTGGACTTAGTTTTTCTTTTTCCTGGCTCTCGATTAAAGGTTGGATCAAAGAGAACGGACGTACAGGAAAGTGTATAAGGAATAAAAATTTTTGGTATGGCAGCCGCCATACCTTTTCATCATGGTGGCCCACCGATGAACTTTTTAAAGTTTTTCACGAAAACTCTTGACCAATTTACGTTTAGTGAATACTATATACGAAACCCTTGACAAGGAAAATACTCTTTTAAGGTTTTCATGAAACTTAGTTCATTCCGAAACCTCTTGAAAGTTCTGTAAAGCTGCATGATACCAAACCAGATTTGGTGAAATTCTACGGGACTTCGAAGGTTCAGTAGTGTACCCTTTTTTCAGTGTACATTGATGGAATTCAACGTACGTCACTGTGCCGATATATGCGTCACGGCTCGCCGCTCTTCCTCTTTCTTCTTTCTCTCTCTATTGTTCTCTCAGTGACGTCTCACTCTTCGTTTCTCTATCATGTATAAGCGTGTGTTGAATGTGCAATAGACACATTCTAGAGATGTAAAGTAGCTAGTAAACATCATTACCGAGGGTGGCAGTAAGCTACTCCTCTAGTCTGTCATCTTATCCCTCTTTTTATTTATCGTTAAAGTCACTTCATTAATTATTATATGAACACTATCAGACGGGTGAAACTAAAATCAATGAATACATAAATGCCATATTCATTTACTTACTAAAAAGTAATATTGAAGTAGTTACTAGTAACTAAGTAACTCGAGTAGTTACTTGAGAAAAGTAACGGTAGTAGTTACTAGTTACTACTAACTAAGTAGCTATAGTAGTTAGTACCCATGTAAAAAAAAGTAAGCAAAAGCCAACTATTAAGTACTTTCAAAAGTAGATTTTAAACAGGAAAAAGTATTTGTAAGTGAACCTTTTTTAGTACTTTTCATACTTTTTGACTAAAAAGTACTACTGGAAGTGTGAAAAAGTGATAGAAGTCACTTAGAAAAGTAAAAAAAAAGTAATAAAAATGACTTTATTTTTCTGTACTAATATTAATTGTATTTTATAGTATATTTTATTTAAGAAAATACTTTTGAGTACTTCTATTATCAATACAAAAAAATAAATTAAGTGTTATTACTTTTTTTCACTTTTCTAAGTGAATTCCATCACTTTTTCACACTTTCAATAGTATTTTTTGGTCAAAAAGTATGAAAAGTATTTAAAAAGGTTCACTTACAAGTACTTTTTCTTATTTAAAATCTACTTTTGAAGGTACTAAATAGTTGGTTTTTGCCTACCTTTTTTTACATGGGTAGTTACTAGTTACTAGTAACTAAGTAACTATGTAGTTACTTAGTTACCAGTAACTAAGTAAATATGTAGTTACTAGTTACCAGTAACTAAGTAAATATGTAGTTACTTAGTTACTGGTAACTAAGTAACTATGTAGTTACTATTTACTAGTAACTAAGTAACTATGTAGTTACTAGTTACTGGTAAATAAGTAACTACGGTAGTTACTTAGTTACTAGTAAAGTAAAGGTAAAGTCCCACCCCTAATTGAAATTCAATTTACCATCCAAATGCAGCAAATAACTCAACGATTGCTGCAACAGTTTCGATTTTATGAAGTGTTAATGTATAATAACCATAAGTAATATCTTCTTTCGAATACCATATAGCACTTCATAAATATAAAGCTGCTTCAATATGATTTAAATATTCAGGTATTATAATAAGATCATTCCAACGATCATCTATATCAAGAAGAAAAAAAAGAGAGAAAACTAAACAAAAAAGAAAATATTCATTTAATAACCTCTCCATGCCCACCAATATAATGTAGCTGAGATAAGATGCATTAGTGCTAAAGCTAAAATATAAATTAATTTCAATGTTAATATCTTTGGATATAATAAATGTTATTCTTTACCACGATACATTCGATTGTTGATTGACAAATCTGTCTTTTCTCCTTCCTTTGAATTGTCATCTGACATAATTATATCACACGAACAATTATCAACATCAGATCCTCTTTATCACCATAGCCCCATAGAGGATAATCAATAATAATAATACCAATTGCATAGAACTAATTAAAATTTTCTTTTTAATGATAAAAATAAATTTAATTGTATATATACTTACAAGATAAACAAGATTAGCAAGAAAATATCGATTAGAAAGTGTTTTTTTAAAATATATAGGAACACGTTTTTTAATTTGTTTCCATTTTAAAGCTTGCCAAATGGAATCAAATGCTTCTAATTCATTAAATGGTGCTGTTGGATCATTTTCTTCGTCATCAGCCATTGAAACAATTGATAATTATCAGAAAATAAACATTTCTTTCTTATATACAAAAATTCTTTTTGATGTAAGAATAATTCAGTGTGATTATTCTCGGATTTTTCTCTCACTCGTGACAATTTGCTCTATCAATAGCATCGATTTTTTAAATCGAAACAACGACATGGCCATCACCATCACTATCTTTAACAATTTAACTAGATTCTTTTTCTTCCTCTAATAGCTCTACACATAGTATATGAACAGAATCATGTTTTTACACAAGTGCACGTGTACATGCAGCAGAACGACAACGACGAAAGAAAAATTTGCTTCGAAACAATATCATTCTTTACTAAATTGTTTTCTTTCTACTTGTTACATCTTCAACGTATTCTTCGTCATTATTTGTAAGGTTGCTCTACACGAATGTCTATTCACCAATACCATCTCCATTTTATCGACAAAAACACTTCACAATTAGCGTTTGTGTTCGTCGAATGGGCTTATCAACCAAATAATCAATATATCACGATCTCTTCTCAAACAAGTACTGACAACTGTTGGACCGACTTTGGTGAGTCATACTTCAAAATCATAAACTAACTAATTTTCATTGTTCTAGTTGAAAGTGAAGATATTAAACATATTGTCCAGAATTACAATACAACAGTCGATCAATTATTCATTGATCTTGAAAATGTATGTAAAGCATTACGTGCCGACGATAAAGATGAAAAAAAAAAAATTTACATTACCATCATATGCTCAACCCTATGTAAACAATGAAATATATTTTTTTGAAAAAAAAATACTTTTCGTGTTACTTTAGATAACATGGTCGACATTCGATGTACATGTAAACAACTTCGTTCAACTTGGTGGTATTTACATGTATCAAATTCGCTGTATCCAAGTAAGATAATTGAAGTAACATATCACTTAATCAGATATTACATTGTAGGTAATGATGAATTCATTTAATCAATTGAAACAAATGGTAGCTGCATATACGGTAAGTAATCTCTTTTTGTTTCATAATGAACAGATAATGACCACCACGCATATGAAAAAAAATTGAATCGAACTATCTTTTTTACCCCTATCCTGTATATATGAATCATAGCAATGCCCGTCGTTTATGCTTGACACTTCCTTTTATTCATTCTTTCGTCTAGTCAGTTGTGTGCGAACAAAGGGATAAACACAAAAAAAAGGATGACTTTGTGCGCTTCTATATATACTAGCTTTTTTCCGTGAATATGAACACATCGACGAAAACAAGATGAACTTCCATATATACATAACAGTAAGCAAATATTTCTGCTTCCTTATTATTACCCAGTCTTATTTTCCTCCTCAAAGTGCACTTTTCCATGCATGTTACAAGATTAAACGTTTTCGAAAAATTCGCTTTAACGATTAGAATAAGTTGTTGATAGTGACTGGGCATTATAATTGCTACAACTGTTGAATATCCGCCGTGAATACGTTTGTGGCAATTATACAATAGCAATTATACAATAGAAAGTTCAATTTGAGATTTCTGATTTTTACAGGTAAATGCATTGATTACCATGATGAAAATTTCTCGGTATCTGATCGTATAAAATTGTTTCATATTTACGAAATTGATCTGCAGGGAGAAAGGTGTGATTAGATATGACTAGAATGCTTTAATGGAGAGTTTGATCGATTCGTAGTTCTCAAATAGTTTTGATTGGTAGAATTTGTTGCGCAACTTTTTCATAGCATAGTGAGCCGTAGACAAATTAATCCATATTTCAAGGCAATGTTTTGCATGGTAACGAGATGATCATCGGTTAGAAAACATTCTACAAATCACCAAAATAGACGGACAATAAAATTCGAAGAAACAAGAAAACTAGTATATTCAAAATATAGAGATAACTTTTTTCACAAGAAATAAGTGTTGTATCACTGTTCATGAAATAAGATAGAGAAAAACGAGATTATTTATTTTGTTTCATGAGTCCAGATCGCATGAAAAATTACGTCCAGGATTCCATCAGCTAAATAGCTGAGTCATTTTCTCAATTGGCTTTTGTGCTATTTTCTTTTGTTTGATTGTCTCTTTCACTCTTGCTATTCAGGGTTTGAGAATATAAGATGTGATAAGGATGTAGACTCATAATAATATATATTTTTGCTTTGAATAGATTTCACCACCACAAGCACCAATAACCAACAACATTACGGCCAATCCAACAATTACAGGACCAAGCATTAGCAATGCTCCTAACAATTATTATCAACCACAACAAACATTTGCTGCTACACCATCACAACAAACATACGCTCCTACACCACCACAACAAACATACGCTCCTACACAACCACAACAAAGCTTTTTTGCTGCACCACAAGAAGAAAGATTTACTGCTACATCACAACAAAAATTTGGTGCTGCTATGCTACCAACATTTGTTACAAATCCATATCAAGATCGGGGTCAATTTCATTCGGCACAAACTAATGATCGATTTATTCATCATCCTTATTCACAATATATGCCAATGGGAGTTGGTTTTTATAACCAAACGGAAGCTGATGGTGTTGTTTACAAAGTAAAGTGAATTTCATGTTTTGTTATGATCTTGTTATGACTGTTTTAGACATGCCAATTCTGCGGAGCAAAAAACCATATTAGATCGAAAAGTTGTGTCAACGTAAATTGCGTTGACAACAAAATGAAATAATTCAAACTATTTTGTTATGCTTCTATTTCTTCATTTTATGTTCTACATCTGATCCATCTGTACTTCGCTTAGAATGTTTAATGTTCATCGATGAAATTGACTGTTTATTTCATTTATACATGTTAAGCGTTCATTTTGGGAATAAAAATAAAAAAAGTTTCTTTACCATATGTATAAGAAAAAAAGAAACGAATCATTTAAATGTTTTGTCACTGGGAATAAGAAAGTAATATGTCGTTATCAACAACGTTAGTGGTGTTTTTTATGACATCTAATTTCTGGATTTCACTGTTCCCACATGTGATCATTTGATTGCTTTCTATCAATGAACTGTAGAATCAGGTTGAAGAAGTTCCTTGTAGAAATAGGTCTTCTGATATATATAACTGGGTTTGTTTCCTTCTCATGAATCAAATAGGAATACCGATACTATGGAACAGAAATGGTGACCTATGAGTTCTTGACTTAAAACATTGTAAGAATAATTCAGTGAGAAAAGTTCTGTAGGAATAGTTGTTTTCATGGCAAACGGATTAGCCTTGGAAAATATATCAATAGAGGTTTATAGCAGAAAATTGTTTCGCGATTTTACCAGTATATATTCCATTTCTGATCTATTACCATATAATAGCATATTCTATTGACAAAATTCAAGAAAATTGTCCTAGTAAAGGTTATTTATGGTTGTATAATGGTACAGATAATATTATTTTTCGCGTAATACTATGAGAAACTTTATCCTCGAAGTGTATTTTTTCAGAAACTGAATATGAAAATTGTTTAAAAAAATTTTATAAATATAATGTTGAAGTATTAACATATTTAGCACGTGCATTAGTTAAAGGTAATCGTTTACGTGAAGCACATAATGCATTATTAAATGCTCGACGTGTTGCATCACATGATTTAACAGTAATATATAATACAACAAAAATTAGCACAAGAAATATTAAAAGATGAAAATTCAACATTAACTTTTGTTCTTCAAGCAATTGATCAACTTAAAATTGCACAAAAGTAAAAACAAAAAAATTTATTTTTAAAAATAAATTCTTTTTTGTTTTACAAAAGAACATTTACATGGCTTGGTGAACATGGTGATCCACATCGTATTGTTTTAAATCAAACATTACAAGAAGCTCAACAATGTTCGGATTTATTATCACAATCAACTTATCATGAAATTCGTGCAAGAAAAAAAGATGAAGAAGAACAAATTGTACGAAGAAAACAAGATGAAGAAAGAAGAAAATTACGTGAAAAACAATTACAAGAAGTGGTAAGAAATTATTTATTAAAAAGAAAAAAGATTTCATAATTTATTTTTAGGAAGAACGACGGATAAAAGAAGATGAAAAAAGACGAATAGAACATGAAAAACGTCAAGAATTTGTTGAACGTACAAAAAATTTATTAACAGCTGCTGAATCACAGATTACAATAGAGAAAAGTCAACGATCAACTGGTGGAACTAGAAAAGTATATTTTCATTATTTTTTTTTTTTTATTAAAATCTTATTTAAATAGAGACAAAAACATAATGAAGAAGAAGAATTTATTAATGATACAGCTGATCTTATTACAAATACAGAAAAAGCACAAAGAAAACGATCAAAAAAAAACTTATGATGATGAAGAAAAACGTGAAAGAAAATCATTGAAATAAATTCATTTTTAAAATGATAAAAAAAACAAATGAAAACTGTTTTTTATATTTTCAATAGAAAACGAAAAATAATTGTACGTAATGATAGTGAAAATGAAAATATTGAAACAAATAAACGTAGAAAAAAGAAAAAACGATGAAATAGAATAACAACTAATGATGATGATATATCTCAAGATAATGAACAACAATTATCTGATAATGAATTAGATGATAATCAAAGTGAAAATGATGATAAATATAAACGAAAATTAACATTGAAAAAAAACAGTAAAAAAAATAATACATATTTCATTTATTATTTTGACTTTTTTTGTTTTTTTTTAGACATGTCGATCGAAACGTTTAAGTTCATCAAAAGTATATATGTTCTTGTATTTATTTAATAAGAAAAATGTTTTATTTATTTATTTTTACAGATATCTCATCGACAATCTGAATCAACTGGTCGATATAAATCAAAAGCAACTATTTCAAGTAGTGAAGATGAATCAGATAATGAATCATCTTGACCAACAATTCCACCAGCTGAAGAAGAAGAAGGAGAAGAAGTTGAAGATAATAATGAAGGGTAAAGTCTAGTCTCATTCATATCGAAATTATTTTATTTGTTTTTCTTTTTCTTTTAGATCGGCAGCTGCTGAAGATGAACAAGAAGAAGGTAATGAAGAAAATGCTGAAGATGACGGACAAGAAGAAGAAGAAGAAGAGAAAGCACCTGAAGATATTGACGTCAGTGATGATGAAGATTAACATTTCTTTCTTTAAACATCATTAGATATTAATTGTTTCTTGTACATTTTCTTTTCTTTTTTCATGTTTAAAGACAATATATTGAGTTTAACAAGATTCATTTATGTTTGATATATTTCAGATTAAATAAATATAAATATGGCAAATGCAGAGGTACTTGATATTCTTTCTGATGCTATTACACCAAAAAATCGAGGATCAGCAAATAAAGATGAAATTATACGTGAAAAGGTATTTATCTTCTTCTTTTAATCTCTCGAAATAATTGAATCATTTTTTTTTTTATTAGAAAAAAGGTCCAAAGAAAAATATTCGTCGACCGGAAGGTATGAAACGTGAAGTATGGAGTTTAATTGCACAAGATGATCGGTAAATAAGAAAGAAATATCTTCATAAATCTTTTTGTTTTTTTTTATATTCAGTGAAAGTGTTCCAATAGTTCCAACTGTTACAAAATCTGGTGGAAATTCTTATGCTAAATGGATAAAACATTCATCAATGAAAGTTCGTTCATGGCAATGGACACCATTTACAAATTCTGCTCGTAGTACAAATGATACATTTATTCTTTATCATTGGCAACATAAATTAAATATTGATGAACCAATATAAGAATATCCATTTGCAAAATTTAATAAAAATGTTGATGTTATTACATATACAGATAATGAATATGAACAATATTTACAAGATAAAAATTGGACACCTACTGAAACAGATGTTTTATTTGATTTATGTCGACGATTTGAATTAAAATTTTTAATTATTCGTGATAGATGAAATAATATTTTGTATTCTGATAGATCTATTGAAGATTTAAAAGAAAGATATTATACAATATGTAGTACACTTGAATATGTAAGTATTTTTAACACAAATTTTTCTTTTATAATAATAAAAATCTTATTAGATTCGAACAAAACGTCATACAGATAAATATAATTTTGATGCTGCACATGAACGTCGACGTAAAGAACAATTAAATAAATTATTAAGTCGTACAAAAGCAGAAGTAAATAAAAAATAACATTCTGAGATATTTGTTATTAAAAATTTTTTACTTTTAGGAAGAAGAAGAATTATATTTAATGAATGAATTAAAACGTATTGAAAATGAACGTAAAGAACGTGAACGTATTATATGACATGATGTAGAAAAATTTGTTCAACAACAAGATCAAAATATAATAACAACAACAACAAATAATTCGATACAACGTACTGGTTCATCACCATCAAGACGATCATCAATTATATTGACGAAGGTATATCGGGATCACTTTTGGCTTTTATTTCACTTGTTTTTTTATTGTCAACATCATCAATAAGTGCTAATCGAAACTTTAATTTTAATTGTTCTCTATTGATTTCTTCTGTTGTTGATGAAGATATATCAATAATAACGTCATCATCTCTTGATGTTGGTGAAAGATCAACATTAGTCATCTAAGATAATTTGAAAATACATGTAATATTATAATAAACAAAGACAAAAATCAAATTCTTTATATCCAGAAAACAAATAAAATTTATGATCACGAAAAACTAATTTGTAAATAGAATAAGATAGTGCTTTGTTTTGTGGATGATTGTTTTGTTGATTATACCAATCATAATAAGTTGATCGATGAACAGAAAAACAATTCGCTATTCTTCACTTTCCTAAAATGACTATATAGTTACTGCATCTATTCTGTTTGTATTTGCTTTCATTCGATACATCATTAGTCTGTATTATCTATACTTATATCTCCATCAATTATTTTACAATAAAAAAAAATGTCACGAAAAGTGTTGAAATTTAAGGATCGAATAGAAAATTGGATTAAATTTTCATTGGCACTAGAATCGGAAGTACCTCATTTACTTTTTTTGAGATATATCTGACATTTAAAACCCTAACAACCTAATAATGATTCGAGCCTTTTTTCTGTGTATAGTTATTTATGTATATAAATTATAAATGGGATAGGATATAAATTCTTGACAATCTAGTAATATGCTCCTACATAAATTTATCATGTAATTACATGATTCTAACCTTTATAAATACCATAGTCGTGGTACAAGTGACCATTGTCATGGTAGAAAGTACCATTAGTCGCGGTAGACGCTGCTGTTGTCATGGTACAAAGTACGAGAGTCGTAGTACAAGTAAGCATATTGATGCCAGAAAATACCAAAGTCGCGGTACAAGTGATAATTGTGATGGTGCAAAGTATCATTTTCATGGTACAATTGACCGTTGTCATGGTACAAAGCACCATGGGTCGCGATACAAATGACCATTTTTATGGTGCAAGTGACCGTTGTGATAGTACAAAGTACTATAATCGTGGTACAAGTGACTGTTGCTGTAGTGCAAAGCATCGTGAGTCATGGTAAAACTGACCATTTATTTTGGCATAAGTGACGATTCATGTGGCTCAACTCAGTTTCTACGGTGCAATGAATCATTTCTATGGCACAGTTGATCATTCTTATCTACTGAATGAGCGTGTCTGTGTCACCACTAGCTAGATCCGTATTAGAAATGACTAGTGCTATGGGATAAATAAGCATTGCTAGTCCTTAGTATCAACTAACTCATATGCTTTATCATATACATTGGCATCTTGGAATATTTTATGTCAACTGTTTGAATATATCTTTAGTATGTAATATACAACATTTTGCAAATATCAATGATTTGCCCTAAACTCATCATTGAACAGAATTCATTTTTATTAAAAAACATAGGGACATCTGTGTCATCATTCCGTCAGTCTAGGGCCCAGTGAATCGACTTTCAATGTCGATGAACCTTACTTGTGGGTGTGGGTGTAGAAGTAAGGCGTTCCACGACAAACGTTTGTTTCTGTCTTGCCGGGACTTCGTCAAGTGGATTCGCAAAGATATTATATCAAATTTATAATAATTCAAATTAATATTATTATAAATACACAAGAATTACTATGTATGATACAATAAGCTTATTATTACTATTGCACATTAAATATATCTAAGTAGACATGGACATATATATTCTATTTAAAAGAATTATATATAGTTAATTCTACATTTTTAGATATACTTAATGTACAATAGTAATAATAAGATTATTGTATCATGCATAGTAATTCTTGTGTACTTATAATAATATTACTTTGAATTATTATAAATTTGATATAATATCTTTGAGAATCCACCTGACGAAGTCCCTGCAAGACAGAAACAAGCGTTTGTTGTGGAACGCCTTACTTCTACACACCCACACCCACCCACACCCTAAAAATATTTCAACATTTATTTAGATTTATCATTTCGAATATATATTAGAACATTTGTTAATCGTCCTATCCTATTAAATAATTGTTTTTATTTAAACATTAGAGGATAAAATCCATCGATTGACTAATCAAGATTATTATTTAATTAAAGATAAGGATATTCGTTCACCATTTTTACTGATTAAACCATATTTAAGAATAATATTCTCAACTATAATTAAACTAATATCATTTTCGATAAACGAAAGGATGATTAAATAAAAAACAAAAACGTTAGAGAATTTTCCATAAATGAACTCGATAATAATTGAGATCTATTAAAAATTGTTTTCAATTATATATCTCGAGTAGTGTCTTTATTAAAGATAGATATTTGTTTATGTCAATCTCTTTGGTTAATCTCTAATAAAATAATTTAATTGACTTATTAGATTTAAGATAACCTTTTTTTATTGAATTTGTTTTCAAGAATATAATTATTATTAATAAATCGTTTGAATAAGAATTAAAATAAAATAAAATCATATTTATTTCGATTTTAAATTAAAATAAATCTTCGAAAAAGAAAATAATTATTTATTATCATTTATATATACAGGCCCGTAGCCAGAAATTTTCTGAGGGGGGCTGAACATGGCCAAAAAAATTTTCCCGCTGGGCGGAAATAATGTGCCCGTACCCCCCTCCAGGGAATTTTTCTCCTGAGGGAGGGGGGGGCTAAAGCCCCCTCAGCCACCCCCTTCCCTACGGCCTTGTATATATAAATATATGGGGATCGATTAGAATTCTATAATTATATTTAATATTTCTATATTTATTCAATTATCGATTTATTAATTAAACTTTTTCAGATTGACATATTGAATATTGAATAATTATTTTCAATTTAATTTATTTTAGAAAAACTAATTATAAAATAAAAGGTTTAGATTATCGTTGAGTTAGATTTACCATAATAATAATAATATAATAAATAAAAAAAATCTTATCAATTAGATTTCAAATAACCGTTTGAAATATATTATTTTGAGTAGACAAAAATCAATTTAATATAAATAAGAATATTCGATATATTAGCTATCATCGAACTTTTTCATATTATAGAAATAAACGGACGAGATTTTATATTTCACTTTATTTTAATATAAAAACGGAATGAATTTCATAAAATAAAAAAAAATTCGTTCGAAGAAATCAAGATAAATAATTTATGATAAAAACCAATCGAAGAGTAAAACGAACGAGAGAGAGATTAATATAGAAATTGATTGAGTTTTATCTATAAAGCGAAGGTTATTCATTAAATATATATATTATTGAGATTTATTTTGAAATAAGTCTATTGAATTATTTTCAATAATCAATATATTAATGGATTAAATAAAATAAATTGAATAGAAATAAATATATTAGTAAAAGAATTTTATTAACTTATTCGATATTTTACTAAAATAAAATCAATTTGAATATAGTTCAATAAAATAATATTATTTTTTAACGGTTAATATTATTAACAATATTTTACTTATTCGATCTAACCTTTTTTTTAATTTTATTCCAAATTAAATATTGAACTCAATCAATAAACGATCGTCGATAATAGATATGAGACTCTCTCAAGAGTTGAAATATCTTATCTTTATTCGATTGATCATTTAGTTAACATATATATTATTTGTTTAGATTTATTTCAATTAATTCTCATTTAATCATATTAATAAATAATTATTTATATAATAAAGATTCAATTTTATATTAACATTCAAATAAAATAATAAATAGAAAAAACGAAAACAAAAACACAGATTTTTTTTAAAAATAAGATTAATTCTCATTTATCTATAATATATTATAAATCAATATAGAGTAACACCAACAAGATAGAATTAATTAAGATGAATAATAAAACGTTGTGGAGTTCGAAGATGATTTTATAAAATCTAATCAAATCTGTTAAAGAGTATATTTTCTTATCTTATTTATATTTTATTTAAAAATTTTGACTAAACTATCGAAAAAACTAATCTTGAGAATGTCTCAAAAAAAAACGTTGAATATCGGTGTTATTAGTATATAAAAGATGAATGTTTTCGTTCCTAATCGATGATATTGTTTGATTATTTGTTAATCTATTATTTTAGTCCAAACTGAATTTCTATATAAATGTTAACCTTTTTAAAACTAGTCAAAAATGAGTTGAATCTATATTCTAATGAGAATCGAGATCGATAGATTGAGAATAAAAAACTAGGAGAATTTCTATTGCTTCTTCTCAAATTCATTTTCTTTTTGAGTAAAACAAATAATTTTTGATTTCTCTAGAGACTTTTTCTTATTATTATCGAAGAATATGTTCAACAAATAATATCTCGATTAATATGTTTTATATAGAAATATAATTTGAAATAATTTCTTTCAAATCAATATATAAACAATGATTTTTTCAATAAAATCAAATTTGATATAAATATATTTAAAATAATCTCAATAATGTATATTCAATCTCTAATATGGATTTATTTCTCAAAACCTGTAATATAATATAATATATATTATATTATACATTGATTTGTTTTTATCAATAGAGAATAGATTTCTAATATAGTGAATATTTATAATTAATGATAAAGATTTCAAAGGTTTCTCTCATTTTGATTCAACTGAGAAATTGAATTTGTTTGATCAAATCAAAAATAACAAACGAAAAAAGAAAGCAAAAAAAAGCCGATTCTTTATTAAATATAATTTCTTGTTCTATTAGGTAAAACGAAAAAAAAAGCATGGATCAATATCCATCTCCATATGTCTCAATTGTTCCACGATTAGTTCCATCTCAATATTCCCCAAAGGTAATTTCTTTTTTGTTAAAGATTTTGATTAAAAAAAAAATTTGAATTAAAGAAAATAGGAATGATTGATGAAGGTAATCAATATTTGGATAATAATTCTGGTCGAATATATACAAGTCCAACAACAATGTTAAATCGTTCATTGAATAATCCACCATTATCAACTCGAACACAACTTATTAATAATGAAGATAATACATTAGCTAATCAATCATTTATTTCAAATAATATTGAAAATGGTTTTTATCCTCGATCAAAGTTTGTTTTATTATTAAATAAATAATAATAATAATAATATTGAATTTATTTTAATAATAGAAGTCGAATTTATCATGAACCACTTAAAGATAATAGTGGAGATATAAATCGAATAAATTCTTATTCAAAATCTGTTTATCCAATAAATGATCAATATGATTTATATGAAAATTCCAAACGATATTCAAATGAAAATAATCGAACTAATAATAATTATCCAAATTTGAATGTAATTATAATAATAATTATTATTATTGGATTATTTGCTTTAACGGCATTAGCTATATCGATCTATTTACTTGTTAAAATATCTCATACATAATTTATTTGAGATAAAACATATCAATTTCAATTTTTATCCAACTCTCTACAATTAAATAAATATAAATACGATTTTAAATCTCGATTTTTTTTATATTTAATCAGTTGAATAGATTTTAAAATAAATTCTTTTTCATAAAAAGAATTTTTTTTTAAATTAATTTAATAATTAATTAACAGATTTTATTATAAAATAAATATATTGATTATTATTATTCAAAGAATATATTTCATCAGCTTTTTTTTTTGTTTATGAAATAAAATCAATTTCTAGGTGGATAAATTGATAATATCGATTCGATTTTTGAGATAAATCATTTAAATAAATAAATCGATCAATAAAAACTACGAACTTGTTTAGAGATAAAAAACAAACAAACGAAAATTTGTCAATAGATAATAGAATCGATTTAACTTGATAAAAAAAAGGATAGATCTTTATTTAAATATTGATATCTAAATAAAATAAATATAACAATTCAATATTTAGATTTAATCGAACTAAAACAATATTTCAAACAAATCGATAGATTAATAATAAGATAAGTTTTAACTATTTACATTTATTTAAATCGAATCTTTTTAACGATCGATCTCAATATCGTCTATTATTTATAAAAATAAATAAATTTATTTTATTTTTATTTATTTTCGATTATATTATATTTATATTTAAAATAAATTATTAAAAAAAAACAATGTTGGAATGTTGTTTATCATCGTATAGAATTCTCTATATATCGATATTCAATAAACAATATCAATTTGACAATTTACTCATATTTAATCGTTATTGATAAAAAATATCGATCATAGAAATATTCGTTGATTATTTTATAAAACAAAAAAAAATGTTTTTGTTTTGATCAAAAGGTGAATATATTGTTTGTTAATTGATAAAATGAATAATTAATTCAGTTCGAGTTAAAAATAGATAGATCCTACTATTATCGATTATCGTTATATAACTCTATTTAAATTTATTCAAATCTCGATTATACTATTTATTAACAACAAAAACAATTCAAGGAATAAATTTTTTTTAAAATTATTTTTACTAGGTTGGCCAAAAAGTTCTGCAACACTTGCGAAAAAGTTGATTTTTATGCGCAAATTTATTTAAAAACAATAACAACTACTCTTCAAAATGAAGGCCATCGTTTTCAACAATCTTTTGCCACCGATCTGCAAGCATCCGGATTTGATTGAAGTACCATTCTGCCGGCTTCGAATCGAAGAACTCCTGGCACGCTTCCTCAACTTGATCAAATGACTCGAATCGGCGACCACGCAAAAAGTGCTCCATTGATCGAAAGAGGCCGTAATCGGACGGTGCAGCGTCGGGACTGTAGGCTGGGTGCGGCAAGACCTCGACTTCCTCCAGTTCGTCAAATTTCTTCTTTGTTTTCTTGGCGGTGTGGGGTTTAGCGTTGTCTTGCTGGAACAAAGCGCGTTTGCGACGAACGAGGGTCGGGTACTTCTCCTTCAGCTTCTCATAGACACGGTCCAGTTGTTGGCAGTAGAGTTCGGCGTTCACGACACGGCCATTCGGAACCAGTTCAAAGTGAAGCACGCCCTCAAAGTTCCACCAGACGCAAATCATCACCTTCTTGCCGAAACCATCTTGACGCAGAACTGATGGCGGATCTTGACCTCGTGGAACCCACTGCTTCTGCCGGTTGTGATTGACCAAGTAGACCCATTTTTCGTCCGAAGTCACAATACGCTTCCAAAACCGATCATCCAATGGATTTTCCAACAATTGACGGCAGGCTTCAACACGACGCTTGGCTTGCGCTTCGGTCAACTCGTGTGGATCCTGGCGAGACTTCTTGTGCACAAAATCCATTTGATGCAGGTGATTGAGCACAGTCTGATGGGACGAGACTCCAAGAACCGACGTCAATTCACGGCTGCTCGATGAAGGCTCATCTTCCAAGGCTGCCCGCAGATCTTCGTTGTCCAACGTTGATGGCCGGCCGGAGCGTGATTGATCTTCGAGACTAAGGTCACCGGAATCGAATCGTTTGTACCACCGGGAAACAGTTGTGTAGTGGACGGTTCCTTCGCCTCCAGCATCACAAATCTCTTTCGCAGCATCTCTGGTCGAAAGTCGTCGCTTCCAACAATAGCGTATCAAGACTCGAAGCTCGATTTTGTCCAATGTCATCTGAAACTTTGAGGATAAAGATGAACCCTGTCACGTCTTCAGGCCGAGATTGATGTCGAGCAGAAAGGAGACACGATTCAGAAGAGCTGGTTTATTCACAAGTGAACACTGAGTGACTGATTGGGAAAAATGACAGTGACAAACAGGAAACACCGGTATATATAATATGAAAATTGCGCAATAACATTACGCAAGAACACGTCATATGTCCGAGTAGAGTGCATAGAAAGTTCTAGAAGGTACATGCAATATTGAACAATGAATAGAGAGAGACGGCCAAGTAGACAGACACGTGACTGTTTAGTCACTACATCACAAACCCGAAACACGATAAACACAAAAACAACAAAAATTGTGCATAAAACACACAAAAAATTAACAAAAATGCGCATAAAAATCAGCTTTTTCGCAAGTGTTGCAGAACTTTTTGGCCAACCTAATATATAGTGATATTGGTATTGCTCGTTTTACGTGAAATCTTTCAATTATTTATTATAATCCATCAACACATATTTCTATTGTTCGATGTCTTCGTGATGATAAACATATGTTACAAACAGTAGCAACATTTATTTCTCGATTAATTAATGATCAAATTGAATGTTCAATACAAACACTTCATGTTGGTGAAAGTATTAGACAATGTAAAAAACATTTAGTTAATTATTCTATTGAACAATTACTTTATATAAATGCACAATCAATTAATCAAAATACAACAACAACAACAACAACATCTCAAATTTTATTCAAAAATAAAAAAAAGAACATAAATAATCAACAACAGCAACAACAACAACAATTAATGGATATTAATCATGATAAACAATTAGCATCACAAAAACTTTTAGCTGATAGTCGAATAGAATCAAATTCGATTATTGTATCGAAAAATGATGATGATAATGAGGATTTTGGAAAAAGAAAAAGAGATGATAAATAAATATATAAAGATTGTTCGATATTCAACAAGTATAAAGTATCTATTACTATAAAGATGAAAAGAAAAACTGAAGCATTTTAAGTTTATGTCTACGACAGCAATTGTCGGAAAAATAACATTTAAAAATTTTTTTTGGAATAAAAATAAAAGAAAATTTCGTACAGCTTTTTGGTAAGTAATAATTAGAATGAATTGTTCGAATATGTGTCGTCATAATGGCTTGAAAAAGACAAAGATGCACAATTTTATTGTTTATTTGAGGTATCTACGCTAATGAGAGACTTTGAATTCTAAAACAACTTTCAAGTCCAAAATTTTTTTTATCCGATTTTGATTTGATAAAAAGTCGACTTTGTGTATGCTTAGCTTGTGCATAAATACTTCACTAGTTTTGCTAATTCAGATCATGAAATAATCCTGACCATACAGGGCGTTTCATAAGTCTTGGGCCGCTACAAAATTCATTTATATGGACACATAGAACCATGTCTCATGATTATGTTTCTATATCAGTTTCGAGTGCTTGTGACGGGCTTTCAAATGATATATAATTGAATAAGATCATCCCTTTTAATAATAAAAATATAAACATGAGAATGTGATGATAAATTTTTCGAAATCGACTAATATGATGCATGGTGTATCAAAATGTTTGCAACATTTTTTTAATTTCGTATATATCTTAACGTGGTGAAATGATAAAATCTTGAATTTTTTTAAAAAGATGCGTCGTGAAAAGTTCTACAAAAAATGTCTGAACAAATACTTACTGACTTGTTTTGATGACCTACTTTATACTAAAATGAACAATGTTCATGATGGTGCTACTTCCCAACGTATTCAGTATAATAACAAATATTTTGAAGACTTTTTTGTTTTACAATTGAGGTCTGTTTGCACAGATTTTGTAGAGCTTTCCATGACGCATCTTTTAAAAAAAAATTCCAGATTTTATCTTTATCTCAAGCTGAGATACATGCAAAACAAGAAACTATTCGAAATGTTTTTTATTATACTCAATATAATGTGAAGTAGCACCATCATGAACATTGTTCATTTTAGTATAAAGTAGGTCATCAAAACAAGTCAGTAAGTATTTGTTCAGACGTTTTTTGTAGAACTTTTCACGACGCATCTTTTTAAAAAAATTCAAGATTTTATCATTTCACCACGTTGAGATATATACGAAATTAAAAAAATGTTGCAAACATTTTGATACAACCTGCATCATATTAGTCGATTTCGAAAAATTTATCATCACATTCTCATGTTTATATTTTTATTATTAAAAGGGATGATCTTATTCAATTATATATCATTTGAAAGCCCGTCACAAGCACTCGAAACTGATATAGAAACATAATCATGAGACATGGTTCTATGTGTCCATATAAATGAATTTTGTAGCAGCCCAAGACTTATGAAACACCCTGTAATCTATGATTCATTAAATAGCTAAGATAAGTTTTTTCGAAATATTTATGCTTGAAATGAGAAAATTTGAAAGCGTAACCTGTCTTTGATCGGCTCACCCTACATCGATAAATTAGTTCGACGACAAAATAAATAAAAATGGTTCAAAAGTATGTTATTCTTATGATGAACATTTGTTTCAATAAAAAGAAAATGAACACAAGCACAGAAGAAAAAAATGAAAAATGAAAAATCAACATTACATTTTTTCTATTTTTTTAAAAAAGTTCATATACGACGATTTAATGTTGTTTTTCAGTTCAGCATTGCTTATATGCTCCTCACCGAAGTCATTTATTGCAGTGTGCACCTGATGTATTACTTGATCGAATAGTTGATGATATTCAAATGCTTTCGTCTTTCGATCATCCTATAACAATAAAAGGGTCAAATAAACAAAGGACACCCATTGAAAAAATGTAAAGATTAAAATCAATTGGAATTTCGAAATTCTATGGGCCTAATTGTAATTAGTACTCTGATGATTCTGGAACAAAATCAAGCTGTTAATCGATTTTAATCAAAATTATAACCAGTATCGATTGATTATTAGAACCTTCTAATCAATTGATATTTATTATAATTTTGATTATAGTCGATTATTATCCATTAGAAGAGTTTTAATCGATTAAGAAATCCGATTCTTATCGATTATATATTCTTATTTCATTTTAATAATGCAAAAAAGTCTTCGTAATGATTCTATAGTAAAAGTTGATTTAAAATACGATATTTCATAATTGAAAGGCAACTTCTTACAGGTGATGGTGGAAGATCTTCTGCCATTAATTTTTGTTTTGTTTTTTGCTATTGATAGATGAGAGAGATTTTTATGGATGTTTGAAAAAGAGAATGGTGAAGCTAATAAAAAAAATGGCTTGTTTGTACAAGTCAACTGGCTACGAATGACCGACGAGTAATGTATGCAGCGCCGTCAAACTATATTTGCGTTTTTCCATTTTTCCTCTTTCTCCCTTGTGTTAAGGAGGACAGGAAAACAAATAAAATCTGATTCTCATTTCGATACTATTGGTTAATTTCCGCGTTGATCGATGTCGCTAACTTGCTTCCCATTCTTTCCTCTTTCTCATTGTTAACGTTTAAAATACATTTATACTCAGTTTTATTTTCAATGTAACAAATAAACAATGAAAATCGTATTTCTTTATTTAGTTATTCATAGAAAAACTGTTAAATATGAGTGGAAAAAATTTGGATCTAGGACTCATCCGGATCTAGATGCAGAGATTCACTTTGATATAGATTTGGGTCCAGAAGAATGTAAACCCACAACTCCTTGATGTGAATAAAAACAGAAACTCATTTGTCTAGTTGTCTCAAATATACAATGGTTACAACAGTCATCTGATAACTATGGTTTAAACAAATATGGAAGACAAAATAAACTAACTCGTGTTGTTAATGTTGATGTTGTTGCTGATGGTGCTTCAATTGTATCAAAATAATCAATAAAATCTTTTGTTGTTTTAATATCTGTTGCAAGTGCGTGTTTTGAAAAGAATATCTGCAATAAGAAGAAAAAAAAATATTAAAAGAATATACGAAATGTTTGTAAAAAAATCTTTATTACTTTTTCTTTTTCATACCAGCTTTTACAATCTGTACTGATGGAAGTAAACTGATTTCTGTGAAATATATAGAGATGTTCAAACATGATTTTCAAGTTGTTGAAATCGATAACACAAGAAAAATCAGCATTACATGGCATTTCTCGAATAGCTAAACATTTTAATCTTTTTGTTTTTGTTTTTGTTTTTACATCATCTAAATACAATGATAAAAGAAAAAACCATAAATTCGTATTTATTTTTAATTTAAGTGGATTTTGAACTTACTATATTCGAAGAAGCTAAAATCAATTGACCGATTTTGTTTCATAAGTGTATGAACAGCAACTTCAAATAAGTTGACTAATCGGATTTACTGTATGAGACATTATGATCACAACATATTGGAATAAATATACGAAATAAATAAAATAAATCAACTGATTATTTTTCTAAAATAAAAAAAATGTGTATTATTTTTAATATAATTATTAGATGATTCTTCATACCAATAATTTTGTTGGATAAATGATATATAAATAATAATAATATTGAATTTGGTAGGTCAATAGACTACTTTATCTAAAATAAAAATTTATATTCGTTATAATCGAATCATTAGGCAAAACGCTTTGTATACATGTGCAGATTAAAACATGCGTATATTGTGAGAGAAAGAAAAGAAAGAAAATAAAATAACTATAGAAGATAACGTTTAAAAAGTGATTTGTTTGTTTTATCAAATGGATGAATTTAATAGTTTATATCAATTTCTATTGATTGATCTAACAAATGAGTTTCTAATAAAAAAAATGTGGAAACCTCGGATTTAAATCCGAGAGTTATGTGTACTTCAAAAAGTGAGTGAGACAGATTAGTCATCCTAGAATGTGGGGATATAAAAATGATCCTGGCAAACCTTATCTATAAACACTTGATTTCTATTGGCTACTGCTCAACCACTAGGATTTACAGATGAATACAGCTCAGATTTGAACTCTTCGCCTTGATTTACCCTAGGAAAGTCGTTTTTCCGGTAACTTGATTTCTAATGGTTACTGCTCAACCAATAGGATTTCGAGGCAAACGGAGCTCAGATTGGAGTTCTCCAACCCAGAAAACCACGAACTGTCATCTCTATGATCGAAAGGCAGAGCTCTAATTGTGGCTTAATTAGAGTGTGGACACAAACAGAACCAATTCCCGTTTAATTACCCTTGCAATAGTATACCATTTTGTAGCTCGTGAAATTCTCTATCGATTGGTATATAATAGTTGGGGTTTTATTTGACTATAATAGGAAAAGTTTTTTACGAAAGCGGGATAGGTCGATTTTCACATAGGAAGGCATAGGGAAAAATGACTATTTTTCCAATAACTCACCAACGGCTCGGCCAATCCTTCTTATCTTCGAACTCGACCGAGATATTATTGAGACTAAACTGTGTACAAAATTTCATCGCAACCGAACTCTCCTTTCAAAAGTTATCGTGTATACGGACGGCCGGCCGGACACACTGACCGATTCTAGAGTGTACTCACTTTTTGAGTACACAAAAAGAAATATAGTTCAACTAGAACAAAGAAGTTTTCATTTATGCGAATGAATAAAGCTTCCGAAACTAACTCCTCGCCGTGTCCTATGGGACAAAAAGAGGGCATCCGTAGGGCCTAAGGGGCAGTTCCTTAGTGCGCTCAAGGATGAATTTTTTTGGACAGCTTGATAAAAAATTAAACATAATTGTTGACAGATTGATCTTGATCAAACTGTCTAAAAGAATCGACCGGCAATGTCAGGACACATGAGTTTGTCATAGTTTTGGGAAGAATAACATTGAGGAAATCTGAAACGCAGCATACTTACCCTTTTGATTGTCCTCATTTTGTAGTTCCAGACAAATTCTGTCAATTCCGAAAAATAATTATATAGGTTCTATGGAAAAAAAGTGAAGATAATTG